CAATATAAGGCACTAAAAAAAGGCAAAATACGAAGAACAATCAAAAAATATTTATTTTAGAAATGTTTATATTACAAGTAAAAAGAGAAAAACTATGAACTAGTTTCATTAATAAAAAATTTGTACTTTGAATCTTTGACTATTTTATCCTTTCGAGTTGTAGTAACGTTGAACCACAAGATGCATTTTGAAGTTTTCTGGCAGCATTTTCATTCGATTTTCGCGAAGAAAAGCCTTAATGTACTAAATGTGCGCTCGACAAGTGGAGCCCAACTTAAATATGGAACGTTTGAAACGTTCATATTATCAGGAATACATTACAATTTTATCCACACCCCTTATTGTCTTCAACCCTACGTTAGCTGAGAAAACGGCTTTGAATTTTTCCAACACGAATTGGCAAGAGGTCCCTGCGTTCTATAAGCCGCATGGGCATGTGCATGATAAATAATTTTTAGAAGGTAGTTTCACTTCAAAATTTTTGACATAAACCGTGTCTGTGACAAACACGCAATGTGGCCACTGCTACGATATAGAACTTGGGGATTATCGCTGTTATTTTAGATATTTTTTAACAGAACATGTAAAGATTATATGTTTTATAACTGATCACTTAATTTTTAATATAAATATACGTATTTTATACATACATTTTTGCCACTGCTAATCACATGAATAAAAATCATAAAAATTAAAATATAACAGCAATATTTCTTGTTTATAATGGATTAGATCCATCGCACACCCGGACTTTATCGGCCGCCAATTTAGATTGCTCGCTAGTCTTTCCATTGCACCACAACTTATTGGTCAGGGCGATTAAGCTGGTGTAGTGTGCGCACCTCCATACATCTTCATGTACATATTTCAAGCGAGCCCTATCATTTAAATAGGCGGCCGATAAAGTCTGTGGTGTGCGGTGGCTCTTATAGCTGTGTCCTTACATCTATTCCGTGTGTTGCAATATCCACGAAAGCAGCAGTTAATTTTTTATGAAGAAAATTATTACAAAATATTCGAAAATTTCTCTACTTATATGTTTGGCTTTTCTTTGTTTTATTTTTCCAACGTCAAAAGCTGGATTTTTTTTTTTTGAAAAAGTTGGTACAACAAAAAATACGAAACACGTTTTCTGTCAGATAGCTAACATGGCGGATAAGAAGAAGAAGTGAAACCATGATACAAAAAAGAAGGTAGTTTCAATAAGCAACTTTTGACGGATAATAAAATTTTTTGGCCTTGCCACTTTGATAATATTAAAACAATAAATCGGAGTATTTTCTTTCCCATATTTATACCAATGTAATAACATTTTAAATCAAAAACCATTATCAGTACTTGGTACTGTTAAAGGAGACTTCATCGTAATGGTTCTCTTCATTTTGTAATAAAAACCACGGGCGCATTTTTCTGTTTTTTTTATTAATGCCATCTTGCGATTTAAAAATCAAATTCTAAAGAATGTTCTTCCCAAATGAAACCTTTTTATATTTAGGTTCAAATTTGCTTTTAAATTTCTCATCAGATTTTGCAAAAAAATAGGCTTTTAGCATCATTAAATTTCACAAATTAATTTATGCAAAACACCTGAAGAAGGCTTGAACAGACCGCTCTCCGATAAACAGCTAACAGATCGTCGTTTAAAGTACAAAACCGTGTATCAACAAAATGCACAACTGCGTATGTGAGGTTGCATAAATTATTTAGAAGAGAATAAAACACTCACATTTCAAAATGGTTCTCTTTTTTACAAAGAAATCGCATTTCAGGACGAATGGATAAGGGTTGAGCCAAGAGCTTGTGTGAGCAAATCCAATTTTTGGAGAAAAATGTCAGTTACGCGGTTTTGCAGTTACACATTCTTCATGCGTTCTGAAACCTAGTCGTCAACCCCATTTGCGAAATCATTTAGCCGGCATGATTTTCTAGTTCATCATATTGAATGTACTGATAAAATCTCTGCTTAAAAAAATATATTTTTTCCAGTAATCAGGTAGCATGAATTCGATGAAATGCCATAATTTTATTAAAAGTCAAATGGTTAGCAACAACAACGAATGTCATTAAATGAAACTACCTTCTTTTTTGTATCATGAGTGAAACTACCTTCCATGATACAAAAAAGAAGGTAGTTTCATTTTCTTTATTTTTCGTACAGAAATTTCTTTACGAGTTCGTGTCAACCACTTCATATAATTTTCTTTGAAGATTCGGAAAAAAATCGTTACAGAAATCAGATTCTCCTAAAGAGATCGTTAAGATTTCGGGAACTTTGGTTTGCAGGGTACCCTGCAAACCATTTTTTCAGAGTATTCTGCATTGTAAAGAAATTTTAAAGAATTCGATAAGATTTAATTCGATTTTTTGCCGAATTTTCTAAAATGAAATAAATTACGCACACTTCCATTCTTTTACGAAATTTCGGAAGAAGATCTGTGAAGCAATGAAAATAATTCTCCTATGTGAAGAATATATTTCAGAATTTTTTCAGAATTTTCTTTATTTTTCGCACAGAAATTTCTTTACGAGTTCGTGTCAACCACTTCATATAATTTTCTTTAAAAATTCGTAAAAAAATCGTTACAGAAATGAGATACTCCTAACGATTTCCTTAAGATTTCGGGAACTTTGGTTTGCAGGGTATTTTTTTTGTTTTGTCTATCTGGATTACTGTATACTGTGTGTGTATATTTTTTAATCTTAAAAAAATTGTAAATGCTATAATCACTTTTTTAAAGGTAGAAAAGGCAAAAAAAGGCAAATATCTTAAAAAAGGCAACATCAAATGTGTATATATGGAATCAGGGAAAGCTAAATCGTCGACATTCTTAATCGAATATACTCTATCTCTTTAGCAGAAAAAAAAGGCAATTTCCATAAAATCCGTTCCCTGATTATAACTTTTGTGCCTCTGGGGTACCCAACACTAAGAGATAAAAGTAACAGCGGTTTTGTAAGTTCTTGGGATTGGTGATGGGGAATTTGGGGTCCGATTAAAAAATTCAAAATGGCAAATCCCACATGGCGACAAAAAAAATTAAAACCTATCCGATTCGCTTGAGTCGTTTTTCTCTGATATTTTTTTTAGATCTTTGATTACGAATCTGAAGTTAGCTCGGAAAAATTCAAAATGGCGAACCCACTGAGGCGGAGTTAAAATCGAATAGATTCGCTTTACAATCGCGGGTTTTTAAAATTGTTGATTACGTCTCTAAAACCACATTTTAAAAATTAAAAATGGCGAATGAGTTACTCAAACGAGATAAATATGTTACTGATACGCCATGTTCGAACGATCGATTTTAATTTTTCATGATAAAATCGTTGATCCAATATGGATTCGCCATTTTAAATTTGTTCAATCTGACTTTAGATTCGGGATCAGCGAGCCCAGAAACATATTTAGTGTCCTTTAGTTATGAATTTTTTTTTATAAGCGCCACATAGCTTTCGATTCTACATAAAAAACCTAAATTTTCACCTCTTAAAAATAACGATAGGTCTGCACCATTTTTCGGGCAGAGCCGCATGCGTTTTGGCGTGCGATGAACCATATGCAAATCAATTTTTGGAAAAAAACTCATTTTCAACCGTTTATTTCTTTTATCGATAAGTTTTATATATACATTCAAATCATTGTAAAATAGATTACTTTACTTTCCATCTGCAATCGCCGGACTAATTTTCACGGGAGAGTATTAAATTTCTGCAGAGTTTTCTTACAAACTTTTAATTAAGAGTTCTAATTAAAAAATGAATACCGCTAAAGATGTGAAATTTTTTCGAAAATTTATATAACGTCCAGTACGATTGTTAAAATTTGTTACAATGTGGCACCATTATATCACCATGCATTATTTTCATAAGGAATCAAAGCAGTATATCCGAAAAAAGAAACTCTTTCTTAAAAAATTCAAACTTTTTCTTAGCTTAATCGAAGAACTTGCAAAAAACACATGAACGAATTTAAATTTTTAAATTTTGATTCTTAATTTTTAAAACTTTTTTTTATTCTTTCTAACCGATTTCAGAAAGATGACGTTATCAATTCGTCGGAATTTTTTTTTATTTATCTGACCTGATGACTTTGGACCACATGAACAGCTTTCGATAATTTTTTCATTTTTTAGCAGAGGGGTGGCACCTTAAGTCTGGTACCATACTAGTTTGGTTTAGTTTTGATCACTGGGTCACAAAGAAATTAACGGTACCCTCAAATATGTACATGAGAATTGAATTCGGTTTTTTGTTTGGTTTAAAAACACTTAAGGACCCTAAAATTACACAAAAAAATGCCGAGACCCGTAAACTCATGGTGGTTTCTCTTCTATCGCCTTTTGATTACCCCTTTCTCTTTTCATGTTCAATTCTAAAACAAAGGAAACCGATGAGAAAATTTTGTGTTCGATTCTTGAAATGTCGCACTCTTGTAAAGAAAAAAACACATTCTCTGCGCTTTGAAGCTTTGTCAGGGCAGATGGTTTGTTTAAAACGATGCGTGAGCTAGACCAGGACAAAAAGGTCAAAACATGCTCTTTTACAGGGTTGAGTGTAACACCGAACACATTTTGCACAGTGGAAGGGTAGCATTTTTTGGAAGAAACGAAATTACCATTAATTTTGGGTCGTAGATTACGGATCAGTGTGTCACACAAAGCACAGGGACCTACTGTTAGGAAAATTACCTTTTATTTTGTGATACACTGAAATTATGTACTTCTTCAAATGTATATTTTAATTTTTAAAATAACATTTTTTAAGAGGGATGTGCGAATAATCGATTAAACAATTTTTTATTGGTCATAATCCTAATTAATGAAAAAAAGTGATTAATCACATTCTGATTAATCAGATCCTGAGTAATTAATGTTTACTCATAAAAAATTAATTAAAATCTGAGTAACTTTGCTCATATCTTTCGAGTTGGCTTTCAAAGCAAATGAATTTTTTTTTTTATATAATACCATGTTTTTCTTATTAACAAAAATATAATGCCAAACGAGCATCTTACTATGTTGCTCATTGGCATTAAAAAAATACACATGTACATAGGTATGTGTATAAATTTTTTCCTATTATAAAAAAGCGGCAATTATTTAGGTTTCCGATCAAAAAGGTTATGATTAATCAGTTTTCAGAATTATAAAATAAATTAGATTCTAATCAGGTTTCGATTAATGAGCTTGTTCGATTAATTGATTAATCGCACATCCCTATTTTGTTAAGTTTCTTTTGTTTCTCTATTTAGTCGAAAACTGGCAAAATTCATTCATATTTTTAAACTTTTTTTCTGTCTAAAATTTTCCTTAAAAATGTTGGTTTCGTATATATTTTAACTGCGACTTTAATCTTTTATTTTTTGTCTAAACTTTTTTTCTGCATAACTTTGGTCTTTGAGTGAAAAAAAGGATTCGGACTCTGTGCTACTGAATTAACTTGATTTTACCATTTTCGTACCTATCCAAATATTTTTCACAGCATACTTTTTATCTGCTAACTTTTTTTCTATTTGAACTTGAGTTTAAAATTTTTTTGGTTTTTAAGTACTGCTTCCACAGTGAAGCGTCAACTCATATATCGTCCAATACCTTGTATACGCCAACTGCAATACTACTTATAAAGTAGTCAGAAAATTTCACAAAATAACAAAAAAAAGTACTCTCTTCAAAACTTTTGAATAGCTTTCTAACTGAATTTGCCAAATATGAGCATCTAATATAATTATCACCATTAAATTTATGGGTTACGATACGAGGTATTGTACGCCAAGCGACGATATATGTATCTCTAAAATAACTATAAAATTGTAGTACAAAAATTGTGAGTTTACAAGCCACTGTAAATGTGGCCGTTAACATACATATTTACAGTTAATACTATGAATATGTTTTTTTTTTTGGAAATTCACCTTTCATAATTGGCACCATATTGAAAGCTTTAATACAGCCGCGACCAGAAAATTGCCCCAAAATGATCTCCAAATAATACACAGGTCTTCCGATAATGAGCAAAACAATTAAATATGGAATAACAAAAGCGCCACCACCATTTTGAAATGCAATATAAGGGAAGCGCCAAATGTTGCCCAAACCCACAGACAATGAGATGCAGGAGAATAGGAACTCAATCTCATTGCCCCATTGTTCGTTAGGCTTGGTTGCACACGCTTCGGATTCAGCTGTTGTTTTAATATCCTTCGGTATGCCATTTTCCAAGTTGTCAGGTTGTAGCTGGAGTAGCTCCTCTTCGGCGGACATTTTGTATTGAAGAAGCTTCACTTGGCGTCTATTAGATTTGTCAAGGTATTTTATGCACTACTATCTTCTTAACAAATTTGCTATTAAACGCGCGTGATCCAAATGCACTTGCGACGCAGACAATTTAAATTAACGCTCCTTGTATTCGACACTTAGCTGTCTACTATTGCACTGATTCGTTCACGAATGGTTGAGTGCGCTTTTAAGTGGATCAACGCGACCGCAAACGCAAATGACAATCTCACTAAGTTTAGTCGCTATCTTATTTAAGATTTTATTTTTATTAATTGTCAGTCGTGCGTCTTTCGCGTGGCTCAGCATCCAATACGATAAGATGAGCATTTCCCATTTACTATTTGATCTTAGTCGGTTCACAACAGTTTGCCTAAATCTTAGTAAATTGTATATTGTTCGGCGAAGGCAGCTGGGCAGCAGTCGGTTGAACTGACAAATAGGCATTTAAGTGGATCAACGATTTGCATTAATAAAGTTTATCACAAGCAAATACTACTGTTAGTATGTTCATGTGTATGTGCCATATGTACATGTATGTATGTATGTATATAAACATGCTCTCACCAAGGGTATTGCATTTGTGTGCTACGTCCCACTAAACAGTAGTTGTGATAATCAAAAAGATCGCGCAATACTTGTAAGATCATTTCATTTCAGATCCTAAGTAGTGGACAACGCGTTGGGGCCCAGAACTTCGTAACGAAATCTCAGTTCGATTTTGCAAGTTCTTAAAAGGATATCAGTATATCAATGAATCTTTTATAGATTTGATTTTGGACAGATACTTCAATTTTTATTTTTCTTGCCTTACCCGAGACTTAGTTGCGTTAACTTAAGATCTGTTTAAATGCTGAAATACCGTGTTCCTTTCCTAAGGTTGGATGTCTGATTGCAGCCACAACTACTAATTAACAAACATGGTTCTCGCTGGCAAGTCTTGACGCCGAATAAACAGTGAGTAAGCCTTCTTCTTTTTACTCACTCCCATAGATCACGCACACGCTCTTTTTATTCTTTTTGATTGGCGCCGCAATCGCCTAAGTGATTTTAGTCCAGTCCAACAAAGCACGGCAGTCGTTCGCTTTCTATGCGAAGTGACTGCTTGGTCTTCCCATCGCGATGCCTTCCTTTCCTTTGCTACCAGCAGCTGGGTTAGCGTCAAATACTTTCGCTTCGTCGTCCTCGGCATTCTAACTCGCCAATACGCAAAGGCCGGTATATCTTCCGCAGATTCTTTCTCTACTTATAGAGTGTGGGTTTTGTACGACTAGCGAGGACTTTACTTCTCCATTGCCTACCTAGTGCAAGTAAACACAAGGATAACAAATACAGACATCGCGACATAAAGACAACTTCTTGTCGCGCAGTCAAAAGTGGCTTTGAAATCAATAAATATATGGTGTGCGCCGAAGCCATTCTCGCGAGCCTTTTCGATGATTTAGAATACCTGGTCGACGGAGGATTTACCGTTATAAACGCACACTGATAAATGCCAATCAGTTCGTTGACGAAGACTATACCCTCTCACTCAATACGCTCGATACGCTGATCTCCCGGCAGTGGGCCACATGTCCATTCGTCTTTCTTGTGGTGAGTGGCCGCTTTCCAGGGAATACTTCTCAAAAATTTAAAGTTGAAACCAGCCGAATTTATATTCGAAAATATCTTCAATTCCGTGACCTTTGCTTTTGTGAGTACCGCATATGCGATGGTGAAAACTGCGGTATAAAATAAAAAGAAGATTCTGAGGTTGACACCTTATTTACTTCTTGAAAGGTAAGGATTTGAAATATAGAATGAGAATGTTTCTATTGATGAATATGATTCAATGCTGAGGATTAAGGCCTTTAGAAACAGCCCCTCTTTTTGCGCCTGCTTAAAGCTTTATATTTTAGGAAGAGGTTAAGTGATTGGGAGTGATGACAATTTTGTTAACCGTTTGGTGGCGGCTTTAGGTGTTAATCAAGTTTTTTATCGTGAATAGCTGATCGCTCATTGAACTTCTGAGTGCTGGACTTGTGGCGATGAGCACTGAGGATACCCACTTTTTGCATGAATACGTAAATGTGAGTTGTATAAATTTTGACAGAAAACGCAAGTAATTTGAGAGAGGCAGTCGTTACATTTTATTTTATTTTTGGGGGGATTTACCATCTAATATCGCACAGGTACCTGAGAATGTTTTCAAAGTAAGAGTTGTTTTGGGAAGTTTTCTTTTGTGGAAGATTTTGAATTTGCTCTCGAGTAGGTTATATGGTTATACATACATTTCACAAGTTAAAAATGTTTGGTTCCAATTGATTTATTTGTTTATCTTTCATAAAAAATTGCAATTCTTTGTACATTCATGGCGCAATAAACAGGTGAAGTAATAAAACAACTTTCTCGCTTTATTTTCTGACATTCGGCTGCCTTATAGTCAAATTTTCAAATAAGGCAGTGTCAAAATCTTTCTTCTCAGTCTAATTACTTCACCTGGTATAATGCCACCATGGTACATACATATGTACATGCAGCTGCTTCGCTTAATGTAATAATTTTCGTTTACTGGGTTCTTGTTTCATCGGCTAATTACACTTGGAGGTTTAACCGCATGCCTCCACCTTCTATAGATTCTGTTAAAAGAGCTATGTTAAGACAGAAATGTTGGTGGATACCGCAAATTTCTACTGTTAAACCATATCTGTCTTGCTGAATTTCTTACCATCGCTTACTTAACATCAGCTGTGATTTCGTAGTTTGACAACTCAGTTTTCATTTTACCGCGCCATCTACATTGGGTAAAGATCGATCTGATTGGCTTGATGCCATTTTAAAAGTGATATGTTAAGACAGCAAGTTGCCCACATCAGAAAACGGGACAAAGTTAAAACAGGAATTTGACAGATGTTAAGACACATTTAGTAGGAAATGGAGACGTGGTGTTAGGGTCATTCTTGATTCGTTCAGCCAAAATTAAATTATAACACTTTTATTTATTAGTAAATAGAAAAGTTACAGTGTTGATGTTGACAGATAACTCATACGCCATAGCAAGCCTGTTAGCCAGTCTGCATGCCATGGCGTATCAACAACATCATCATTGGCTTGAAGTTTCAAGTCACTGTATTTTTTTTTGTTTGTTAATTTATTTTCACGCTTCCAAAGTGTTTTCATTTTTATGACCCTAAAATCCTCTCAAAGTAAGTAGGGGTTAAATGCAAACTTATTTTCGCGACCAAGTCTAATGTACATACATACATAGTACATATGTACATGCATAAATATGTGTGTATGACTTTGTGCGCAGTTTGTTATATCTATTAACACTTATTAAGCACCTAAATACATATTTTATTTCACATATTTTTAAATATTCTTTTGAGACTCGCCATTTATTCAACCACAAATTGTAGACCTGTGAAATTTGAGATCTGAGTGTTAATTACGAGCATAATGGCAGTTGACACTGGAAAAATATTCATTTGAAAAGTAACAAAATGGGAAATTAGCAAATAATTAGATGGTGAAATACTTTTTGACGATGAATATTTTTTAAATTAAACAGTAGGAACGCTAAAATGGCACACAAAAACGCCGAGACACCTAAACATAATTTTGGGTCGTAGATTTTCATTTTAAGTTTGTGTATGAGAAAAAAGTCTAACTTTAACATGGAAAGTGTTACTCACAGCCATGCACGCTTATGTCATTAGGGTGGTTCAAAATAAATAAAGTAGGAATTTTAAACGCTCTGACCCCTAGGATTGTTTTATATCAAAACAAATACCCCTGTTTTTTAATATTTTGAAATCAAAAAATATTTAGTAGTCGCTCAATGCGCTCAAAGTTTTCCATGTATTTTATATAGAAAAAAAATTGTCGTAGAAATAGTATAGAATTCTTGAAAATCAATTTTTTTCTAAAGGCAAACTCTGTTTCTCTTCAGGAGATTTCCAATAATAATACCCAGTTGTTTATATATCAATTTTTTAATATTAACTATTTTTTATAGGTCCGCCGAAAAACCTTAAACGCAATGGGGGCCCATAAAAAATCGTTAGTGTAAGAAAATGGTAAAATAAACAATTGGGTATTATAATTTTCCTGAAGAGAAACAAAGTTTTTCGATCGAAAAATATAGATTTTCAAGAATTCTATACTATTTCTACGAAACATGTTTTTTTCATATAAAATACATCGAAAAGTTTCAGCGACCTCTAAATATTTTTTGATCTCGAAATAAAGAGGCAGATGTATATTTTTTAAATATAGAACACTCCTAGGGGGTGAGTGAGAGCATTAAAATCCGGACTTTACTTTTTCACATACAGTTTTGGACTACCCTAATGTGCATACGAGTATAGCCATGTACATGGCGTATGAGTAACATTATTTCCTGCACATATTTCATAAATAGTAAAATTATAGTTTAAAAAACTAAAACCTCCCTATTATAATTGCCATTCGTACTATCATCAGGTATGTAACTTGAGAATAGAAATCGCTGCATCTTTTAGGCGCATCAATATTACATAGTTACATCCCGAGTTAATAAAAGGAAGGTAAAAAAATATCATTACACATTTTCCTTAGACCATTCACAACTAGAATTACACAACATACTTCTACGTATCAAAAAATAAAAAATAAAAAGTTCAAAATTAAGATGAAAATTTGTTTAATTTTTCAACACAATTTTAACTTAAGAAATTTTGCAAATATTTAACTAAAAAAATTTCCAAATATTTAACAAAAACATACCAAGAATGAACCATATTTTTATACAAAGTTGGCGGAAAAATATTAGAATAAAAATTGTTGCATATATTGTGAAAAATTTGCTGTGCCAATACTTTGTACGTAGTTTAAAAAACTCCCCATGCGATTACCTAAAAATGCAAAAATTTTGTAAAATTCAACAATTTATATTGAGCTCGAGGCCTTTTTTTTAATGAAAATTTATTGGGGGAAAAGCAACAATAATTTGAAAAAATGGTAGAAGTGATTGATAGCTATTTCGGAAATCACCACATTTCCTCATCAGACTTCTTTCAGTAGGATTCGAACCGACGATCCCACTGACTCAGCCAGTTGCCTATGCACCGTGCTAAGTACGCCTTGTAAATTATCGTTTGCTTTTTTCCACTATTTTCATTTTTGTTATGCCAACACAATCAAGCGCAGCTATTCCGCTGCAATTCACTTGATCATGTGGTTATTGGTATTGTTGTTTTTTTGCTAATAATTCTATTTTTAGAATGTTTAACTTTTTTTTAGGTGTGCTCGTCCTTAAGTTAGGCCATTTTGTAAAATTAATAAACATAAAAATTTTCGTTGAACAAGTCGGGTACACTAGCAACCTTTTGTATTTTTTCAGTGATTTTTATTTAGAATTTTTAAAATGTTTGTAACCAAAAATAATATGGGTGTCCTTAGAAATGCTTAAATGCCTCGTAACCACGTAAACCATACAAAATGAAGTAAGTTTAGGAGGTTTACATGGTTACGAAGCATTTTTGCCCTAAAATTAAAAAGAAAATCACTTTTCATTTTTAGAGCCATAATTAATCAATATAGTATATTGATTTAGTTCTTCTTTATGTTTCATTTCAAAACACTTTTCTTAATTACATTTTTCTTTTGGAATTTCTAATATTTATTAATTTAGTATTTAAAGTATATATTTTTTGTATTCTTTTTTTATTTGTATTAAAATTAACTACATTTATTAACCTACACTTATTGAAAGATATACAGTTATTGATTTTAATTACATATTTTTTTTTTGTAAATACATAAAAACAAGTAAACATTCAACATTTCAAGGGCATACAATTTTTAATGCGCCTTCGTTTGGCAATGTAACAATTGGATGAAATGAGTGTAGAGAAAAATTAGTGAGGCACTTTTTGGCATTAATAACAAATTATTTATTTGCAAGGATAATATTAAAATGTGGGTTGTGATAAGAAATAAAACTAAAATAAAGTTTATAAAAAATTAAATCAGCAATGAAAAACAATAAAAATAAATACGTAAAATGATAAAAAAAAATATTAGAAAGAAAAAAAAATATCGAGTGTAATAAAAATAAAAATTATTTTTAGAACCTTTAACAAATAATAATTACAATAAATAGATGTTCATTATGCTTTAAAAACGATAAATATAGGCTGAAAAAATGGAAGCGATTCTGTTTATGTTTGGAAATCACTTACAGGACAATTATTTATAATCTTACAGTTATATTTACATTGATACGTTGTATGGAATTTGACAAAGCCTTGCTCTTTTAATTAAGTTATTTGTATGTATGTTAATTAGTCTTATCTACTTTCAACAAAACCGCTGATTTTTCGCACAGTTTTTACACAGTTAGATACTTTTTTGATTTGCTTGCGTTTTTTTCTCATTTAATTCCACTAATGCACACACAGAACATTTTCATTAACTACATAATCTAAAAACAACATATGTGTACGTTAATGTACCTATGAATGTTCTATATATGTATGCACATTAGGGGGGTCTTTATTTTTTAATTATTTATTTATTTTTTTGTTTGATTATGCGGTAAGTCATCGGAGTATGGGTCTAAAATCAATTTCGAATTTCCCAAATTGCGAATATAATTTATTTTCCTTAACAACGTTGAACGGGCATACGTATATTTCTGTTGCAAGCATTGGTTGCCTATTTTTTGCAATTTGGCAATCTCGAAACTGATTTTAGATCCATAATTTATTCGGCTAATTCTCTTTGAATTTTTTGTGGAATAGATACTACTATACCCTACTCACATGGTTGAAAAAATTCAACATACAAATTGACCCGCCCTAAAGTAAACACATTTATATACATATGTACATACATATGCAAATGTATCATATTAAATAATTTAATCTTACATTTTTAGATGTGATTAACAATCATTATGTACATACATACAAATTGCAGAGGTTAACACTTACTATATTTTTGAAATGTTTTTTATTCTTGTATTTACAAGCTTTTCGTAAAGCAAAAGCAAATGTATGAACCTTGTGGTCACTTAATTTTTTCTTGGGATTTTTTATATATTTATTTTTTTTAATTTGTAGTGAATTTATTTCTCCATGCATTGTCAAATTAAACAAATAAGCACATTTGGTAGAGTCCGACCGAACGTTCGGGCTCGGGTGCGGTCTAATATATTTGTAACTCGGGTTTGGCTGTAGTTTGCGGTGCAATGAAGAAAATTTGACTTCCTGATAGATTTGATCTAAATTCGAATGCAAGTCTTACACAAGAACTTAAGCTCTGAATTAAACACGATTCGGAAATAGTAATGAATATGATAACTAGAACAGAGTCGAGGCTTGATAGAGCAGCAGAATCGGAAGAAGCGATTTACTATAAAGGCTTATAATGAAGGCATCACTTATAAAAAAAAAAAAATACCGGCGAACGGCGAACTCACCACAGCGAAATTCGTGCTGTTAAGTATATATTTTCAAAATATATTTTCAGTTGAGATAGGGCGTTTTTGAGCCAAATTCTGAGATAGGGCGTTCCTCAAGCAAATTCTAGTAGGGCACTTTTCAATCAAATCCTGAAATAAGGCGTTCTTCATCCAAATTCTGACGTAGGGCGTTCTTGAAAAGTTTGCCAACCTTCCTTTTAGCCGTCACTATGCATACATTTTTATTTTTTCTGCAAGTTTTTTTATAAAATATGGTTCTTACAGCAACAAAAAACATAAAGATAAAATTTCTAAACTTTGTGCAAAACTCAGGAAAATTCAATAAATTTTCATGGAAATTTTCATGGAAGTTTTCAACATTGTAAACCGATTTACGTTACGGATTTTTTCCATATAAAGTATTTTCGAAAAATTTGTATTGTATGTGTCGGGATGGCCGTTTTATGAGACAAGCAAAACACATGTACTCACAACGCTTAAGTTGTACTCAGTAAAATTAGGTTTATTTAAGTAATTTAGTTTTAGAAAATAGAAAAAGTTATTTAATTGATTGATAAGCAAATATTCGTAGTGGCTTCCGCACACGACCAGTCTCTCTCGCTGACGTTTACCGACTTACTCCCTGCTGCCTCTCTCTTGCAGACATGCCTCGTCGTCAAGGGTTGCCAGATAACTTTACATATGGAAGAAAAGCGTGAAAAAAATTGCCGAACATCAACGGTAAGTACTTCAAAGTTTCACTTTATTATACTAAATTTTAAAGGGCTACAAAACTGCATACCCACAGCATTCTAAAAAATCCGATTAAAAAATTGAAAATTTTCATGTAAATTGAATATTTCATAGTTTTGTACAAAGTTTAGATAGCTAATAAAAAATTTGCGGAAAAAATAAAAATTGTTGCATATATTGTGAACAATTCTCTGTGCCAACACTTTTTGCCGTGAGCGTAAATATTTCAAAATTGCTTGTCGCCCAGATAAATTAATGTCGTACTATATTACATTAGACGACATTCCATTCCCGACATTTCCCAAAAACCCGACGATAGATTATCTCAAAGGCCGCAGAGAATTTAAGTAGTTCACAAATTTCTTAAACTATTTTGTTTTTATTATTATTATTACTTATTTTTAAATTTATGTATGATTTTCTTTAATAGCATTTTGTCCTATGTTTCCTTTGGCAACAATATTGCAGGAATATTTTATGACATACGATGAAATGTGACAAAAAAATGTACTAAATCAACGATAAAATTTTACTCAATACCAATACTTCAATTTGGCTCATTTTTCACATATGACATTCATTTATCCGGGCGATAATTTGCACATATCGTCGTCATTAATGCAAAAGGTCTTGAGTGACATTTATGTTTTGTAAAAGGAAGTTTTTAAAAAATATTATTAAGCAGGCATCTACAGTAAAATTCAAATGATAAATCAAAAGTTTACTGGCATCTTCAAAGCTGACATGAAAGTATTTTTTATGTATGTTGATTTTTGAACATTGCTGCTTATCTTGTAAAATTTTGAAATGGTCACTTGGAGCCCGCGATATGAACTTTTTGACCGAAACTTTTTTTCACTTCAATAATTTAGATTTAAAAAATTTTGATTCTATTTATAGTGAGGCCTAAATATTTTATTGAAAAAGGATACTTAACTCCCGAATAAGGGCTAACTATCCACCGGCAAAATGGTCCCAAGTAATCTTTTTCTGTAATATGTAAGAAAAAAACAGTCTATTGCTGCATGCTAATATTCAGCATCATATATTCAAAATAGTAGTAACAAGTTTAACACTTACAAAATTTAACGATACGCATAGCCGGCGGCAAAAATGGGAAAACTATCGAAATTAAAAGTAAATTCTCTCTAAATTTGAGATCCTACAGATATTTCTACTTAAAATATTATAAAGGCAACAAAGGTATTCACGTTTTTTTTCGGAATTCTAAAATTTTAAAACGCAATACCACGACACAAAAATTCGGTAATGACCCTTGTTGTAGGGTGATCATACTTAAATTTTTCTGTCTGACTGCAGTCAGTAGAGGCGCGCTTTTTAAAGTCGTTTGAAATATAGCGTACTTAGCCCATTATACATATGTACAATTATGAAGACAAAAAAAAAAATAATTTTAATTAACTCTACACTTAAACATTAGGGCACTTTTCAATAAATAAAGCTAGGTAAATATGTATTGTAGATGGAAGCAATTTTTCATGATATGAACGTTACGTCATTGCAATTGGCATTAAAATTATTAGTTACATGGTAAAACTAAAAAGCTGAAACTTTCAGTAAAATAATGAGTTCATCAACACACGCTCGTACAACTAACACACACAACTCAATTACACAAAATTACAACTACACATGCGCGCGCACTCATACACAACATAGCCTTAATATTACAATTTTTTACAAATAAATCTCAAAATGTTACGTGAAACCACGACTGGGTGACTGCACCGGCGAGGGTGGTGGCGGCAGCGGTGAAAAATATGTCGACGAGCGCGACGATGGCGATGGCGGACATGACGACTCCGGCACTATTCGCACATCGCTGTGGTAGTGTGAGCGCGGCGTTGGCGGCGGCGGATATGGCTCACTGTCATATTGATATTGCATGCAGATCACCGCAGACGATGTGGACGGCTTGGCAGCACCATGGCTGTTGTTGCTATTCGATTTACTGCTGGTGTAATTCGAATCGGATTCATCGCAAATATCCGTCGAGCAGGGTGTCGGTGGCGGTGGTTGATTAATGATGCGATAATGACGATAGGGACGACGTGAACGCGTCGCTGGCGAAGGTGGCGGATTGATGGGATAGGCACCCATACTGCTGCCATTTGTGGTGGAACTGGAGGCGCCTGTGATGTGATTGCGATCGTAGGAATTGATGCTGTTCCGCGAATTCAATGTGGACATGCGCATCGCATCAGCGACGGAGGCGATTTTTGAGACGCGCTGTGATTTGGAAAGTGTCGAAGGCGAGAGTGGATCAGATGCCTGATCATCTTTGGGCTCGTTACGACTTTTGCCAATGCGTGTGCGGCAGACTTGAAGTAGATAGACAATGGAGAAAATTATGACAATGGTGGCAAAGATTAGTATCATGAAGGCTTTCTTATCAGAAGCGGGCGCCATGCGACGCGTATTCGCTTGTAAGCACATTTCCGCTGACTCGTCAGCGCCATCGGCGCAATGGTCCCAACCGTCGCACAGCAGTGTGGCCGAGATGCAGAGCTGTAAGGAGATATTGATAGCGATATAGAGATTAGTGTAGCCATTTCAACTTCATTAACAGCGTTGCCACTTACCTTATTGATGGGACACTGAAATTCCCCCGGCCGTTTGCAACAGTCTGCCTCATCGTGACCATTCGCGCAATTAGTTGTGCCATCACACACCAGCGACTTATCTATGCACTCGCCCGACTGACAGCTGAATTGATCAGGCCGACATGAAGGGCAACCCACCTCATCAGATTTATCCGGACAGTCGCTCTGTCCATCACAACGCCACGAAGCTGGTATACAATCCTTATTCATATCACTACTAGAGCCATCGCCTTTAACCGGCGCCGCACATGTGAAATGATCCGGGCCGCAAGCGGGTAGAGCGCCACAGTTCTGTCTATCCTCGAGCAACATGAGGTTCTTCGGACACGAGCAATTATCACGCGCGCGTCCCTCCGAGGAGGCTATGCAAATGTGCGAGCACTTGGTGCGACTATGCAGACAGGTGTGATTGCGGAAGAGTTTCGACTCGGGTGTCCAGACGGCGACAATATCGGTTATTTGCGGCAGACGCTGCATTTCCGGTCGACGACCATCGCCATTTACGCTTATGCGCTCCACGCCAGTTTTATCGTCCAACCAATAGACGAAGCCCTGAAGTGCGGACAGCGAGATGACTTGCGAAATATGGGCGGAAACCAGAATTTTTCTGCGTAATAAAAAATAGAACATTTTAGCATTTCAATTTTTATTTGGCACTGCCAATTTAAGCCTACTTATTTTTGCCATTTATGTCCATAGAATCGATGCGCTTGCCATGCGCATAGTATACCATATCGCTCTGCTGATCCACTGCAAGTGCTGTGACACCTTCCAGCTTGAATGCGAGCACTGCGCGCTCAGCACCATCAATGCGCGCGCGTATAATGGCCTGTTGGCTACCCACGTCAGTCCAGAATAGCAGACGCTTCATGGCGTGCACGGCAATGTTGCGCGGTTTCTCTGAGTCGCCGGTATCTATGACGCCTATTGAATCGCCATCGAATCTGTAAGGAGAGAAAATAATATTTAGAAATGTTTCAATTGAATAAAAATGCTAAGCCCTGCCATCTACCTCGTCACATTGATGCTGTTCGAGTGTGAACAGGTCCAGAAAAGTAGGCGGCCAATCACATCCAGCGCGATATCGAAAGGCTGTGAACCGGAGCCCACTAATACCTTCACAAACGTGCTATTCGCGGGTGAACGTTTGATGCTGTGACTACGTCCTTCCACCTAAAAAATATAAGAAAAATTAATTCGCCACTTAAGCTTGGGCTGCTTGCAATTTTGCGCACTCTGAACTCACCCAGTAAATGTTGTGCGAAATTGGATCATATTCCACCGCGCGTATGTTCTTGCCCAGCACCGGCAGCGGCACATTCGGGCAGTCGCTTGTGTTCGGCAGCAAACGTCCGAAGCTGTTGCGCTGACTATAGATTACATAGTTCTTGGGTGACAGGCAGGACACGCCGTCCTTAGCCAATGTGTAGTGCGTGGGGCAGGCGCAGATCATGCCGCGTCGCGTCGGTTGAGCCAAGCATAACTGTGAGCACCCGCCATTGTTTGTTTTACATGGGTTGCTGCCCGTCTGACGATTCTGATAGAATATCACCAGCGAACGTATGTAAGTCATGCCACTGTGCACGAGAGTCCGATTTTGTCCCGTCATCTTGTGTACGCGTTCAATGTCGCCTGTGTTCCAGTCGCTCCAGTAGACGTAATCTTGATAGAGCGCCATTGCGTACGGCTCATCGACATCGGTGTTGAACAGCACCACCCGCTTTTTGCCATCCCAGTCGGCAGACTCGATTTTTGTGGGACGCGATTGAGTTGCCCAGTAGAGACGCCGCGTGTCAGGATCAAAAGTAAGACCCGTTGCATGATTCGCGCCAGAAATTATTGTCTGCAGTTCGGAGCCGTCCATGCCGGCGCGTCTTATCGAATCAGATGGCGACTCAATCCAGTACATATAGCCGCGTTTGGGCTCCAGCACTAGGGAACGCGGTTCCTCCACGCCTTTCCACAGCAGCACACGACGACTGGTGCCATCCAAGCGCGCGACTTCAATGCGGCGCGCTTCCGAATCTGTCCAGTAAATATTATGCGATAACCAGTCGACGGCTATGCCTTCCGGAAAGATGAGCCCAGCATCGATAATGCGTTGCACAAAGGAGCCATTCAGAAAGGCGCGATAAATACATTTCGACTTCTGATCGTTCCAGTAGATGCGTCTATCCGCCACATCGACATCCAAAGCATGTGCGTCGCGCACATCTTTGAAAGGTATCTTCTCGTCGTTGTGATTGCCCTCGTTGTTGTCAATCGAAATACGCCCGATATGCTCCTGCCGTGAGAAGAGCAGAAACGCCTCGGGTATGACGCATGTTTTCTTATCGCTCGCCAGTTCGTACTCTGTTGAGCAGCGGCAGACGTAGTCACTTGGCCGATTGAGACAAAGTTGCGAGCAGCCGCCGTTGCGTACCGCGCATGCGTTAAAGCCCTTCACCTCACGAAGGCGCGTCACTTTCAGCCCCATCAAATCGGGATATTGGTCAACGACGACTATTCGATTGTTGCCGGTGATTTTGTGCGCGCGATCAATGGCACGCCGCTGCCAATCTGTCCAGTAGAGGTAGTCATCTAGCAAACTTAGACCAAATAAGTGTTTGAGATTATCGCTAATCACGACACGCCTATCCGAACCATCCATATTGGCCACCTCAATCTTGTCCGTTTTACCATCACACCAGTAAATTGTTTTCGCCTCAATATCCAATGCAATGCCATTCGGCCAACCAAGATCTTCGGATACAAGTACCACACGTTCCGAACCATCCAAAGAAGAGCGCTCTACTTTCGGTTTTTTTTCATTCCAGTCGCTCCAGAACATCCAACCAAGCGTAGGTGCCAGTGCAATGGCACGCGGTTCTTCCAGGTCTTCGTAGATCAACACTTTGCGCGCCGAACCATCTAAGCGGCATACCTCCACTCGATCTGTTATTGTGTCAGTCCAATAGAGATTACGCGCTAGCCAATCCACTGCCAGTCCGTCTGGATGTCGCACTTCAGATGTCACAAAGTCTTGTATGGCTGTGCCATCAGGATGTGCACGTCTTATCGTATACGCCTCCACATCAGACCAGTAAATGTACTCCTCCACGGGATCATAGTCAATCGCAATTGCATATTTGACTTTTCCCAGCGGCAATGGAAATATCGTAAAATCTGGTGTGTCTAAAGATATCTTGCTAATCTGGCCGCGCTGCACAATGAAGAGCATTTCCCGTGAGCCATTCGCGCAGCTCGTCTCCGAAATCAATTTAACACCCGTCGGACAGCCACAGCTATAGCCTTGCGCATTTGTAGACAGTAGGCAAAGGTGTGAACAGTTGCCATTGTTGTGCAGACAAGGATTATCTTCGAACGGCTGCAGTGACGCATCCCAAGTGCGCACAGAAATCGGTGCCTCTGGTGTATCGATTAGCTCGCGCAACTCATGCGATTTCAAATCAAAAGTGTTCAGCGAACCACCCTTCGACCAGTCGGTCCAAAACAGCCGATTGTTGAAGTACGTCACACTATAGGGATATTCCAAATTACCAACAACTGTGCGTCGATTGCTGCCATCCAATTTCATAACATCGATAAATTTCAAATGACCATCCGCCCAGTAGACGAGCTCATTCTTCAAGTCAATCGTCAAACCATTGGGCCAAAAAATATTATCCTTTACAATAGTCATGCGCGACAATGGATCGCCATCCATGCTGGCACGTTCAATTTTCGGATATTCACCCCAATCGGTCCAAATCATCAGACGTTTCGCCGGTACCAACGCAATAGCGCGTGGCTGATCCAAATCCGTCCAGAAGAGTACCTTTTGATATTTGCCACTAAGTGTCGCTACTTCGATGCGATTTTTTTCGCCATCCGTCCAATATAGCTTATCCGTATACCAATCTATGGCCAGACCTTCGGGCTTATCTAGACCCGCAGATATCACAGTTTGTTTGGGTGCCTTCAACAATGGCACCGATGTGTTCAGATTAACACATTCGATTAGCTCGCGACCACAATCGGTCCAACAAATCAAATTGCGTGCATAATAGAAATCTATAGCCATCGTTTCGGTGAGATCTTTGACGATGACATCGATCTGTGGACTACCAGTCGGCCGTGTGATGTTTGCGACTTGTATGTCATGATATGTGGTGAAGAGCAGCGTGGAGGGTATAAATGGTGAAGCGCTGGCAGCAATTGGCAAGATGGAAGACGATGATGAAAATGTGTAAGTGGCGGTGGAGGCAGCGGTGGACATTGCGGGCGATAAGTGTGCTGGAAAGAAAGAACGGTGAAAATATTAGCATTTTACGTGGCGAAATAAATATGATCGTCATTTTGAAATATACTTATAAAAAGTTTTCAAGATTTGCGTATCAAATAATGATCAATTGGATAGGTTTAAGTTAAAAATACTTTTTTATGTTATATTGTCAATGGAATTTGTTATTTAACATTACGAACATCTAATACAAATTATATAAAAAAAATATTATCAATGCGTTAATATTTAAGCCTAAGGAGTAGGTACCCAGTGTTCACTGAAACAAAAAAAAAAAAAATATTTGGAAAAATAATGTAAATTAATAAAAATATTTTAGTCGACTCAGTACAAACAGAATTCTATAAAAAAAATAATATTTAAAACAAAAATTGAATTTTTGAATTAGCTGGCAACCCTATTAAAAGGCCAGGTTGAAGAATACATATTTTGAGTGGCAATGTACTGTGTATATTTATTTAATATATTAATATTTAAATCTGGCAAAAAAATGCTCGTTGAAATTAGTAAGATACAAATTGGAATTAAAAAAAAACGTGGCAAGCCTCAAAGAAAATATTTATATATTAACCCTAGAATACTAATCTTGAAAAGATGCATTTTGTAATATCCCTGATTCATTAAAATCGGTGAAGCCGTTTATGAGAAACCCATGGTATATACAGACAGTGTCAAAAATATGCATACCTCGACGTTTCGACGATTTTATTTACATACTTATATTCTCCATACCAAATTTTTCTTATTTTTTTAAATAAAATTTTTATAAAACATAGTTCATTCAACAGCAAAAATTACAAGAATGAATTTTTTTAGTTTCATAGAAAGCTTGGGAAAATGCAAGAAATTTTCATCGAAATTTTTAATTCGAGTTCATAGAAAAATTTTGAGTATGCAGTTTCTTAGCCGATTATATTTGAGTATAATAAAAAGCAAGTTTCAAGTCGCTAAAAATTACCTTTGATTTTTGAGAATTTTTTTCGCTGAGTGTATTGCGTAGCTTCTTTCATATACCTTTGGAAGAAAATGCGATAAAAAATTTCAAAAATCAAGTTAAAACTTGCACCTTATTTATTGAAGTTGAATATTAAATTTTTTCGAATTGAAAAATTGAAAATTTCGATGCAAATTGCTTGCATTTCCCAGAGTTCTGTATGAAATTAAAAATGATTCTTGTGGTTATTGCTGTATTGAATGTAAGTATGCAAACTATGAATCAATAAAATCGTCAAAACATCAGGGTATGCATATTTTAGCGCTGGCGATTGGTTGGGTCAGTTGGTTATTAGTTTTCTAGGGTCTATCAAAATCCAAATTTACACAAGTGGAATCTCCTCATATCACTTCATCATATTTTTTTTAATAATGCTCTGATGCAGCTATTGTACTGTCAAGGTTTAATGCTAGTATTATTCTATAGCTGTAATCAACTGCCTAGCAGTCTACCTGCAGCTTGAGTCCTTCGCACATTTCTAAAATAACATTTAACATTTACACCTGCATACAAACATATTTGTATGTATGTAAGTATGAGTGCACTGCATAATACCCACTCTCGCCTTGTTGGCTGTCTTTATGTAAATTCAATGCGCACCAACAGCGACGCATTAATGCCAAACAATGCGTATTCAAATACATTTCAGGCAGCCTTCCTCATATTCGCGCCTCTTCGTCCTGCCTCGTATGCAGCTGCTAACAAATACTCGTATCCAGTGTAAGCAATTAATCCTTTCGCAGTCAGCCCTCTAATGAATATAAAAAGTGTATGATTAAGGAGATTTGACGGGGAGCTGAGTCAAGATGGAGGCTGTGTTATATTGTACGTAGAGAAATGGGTGGTTGCATAAGTGTGCCTGACGCTGAATAGCTGCTGGTTTGGAGACCCACTTGGTTGGCTGGCTGTATGCTTGGTCGCTCCTGCGGGTACTCAACGCAACGCAACGCATCCATCCATCCATCCATGCATCCAACCACAGCGCAGTCATTGCACGCATGCAAATATTTTGCTTAATTTTATCACGCGTGCTGCCGAGCGAGCGAGCGGGGAGGGAGAGAGATGTGCGGCCGATTGTCTGCAAATATTGTGGTTAGCTTATCCTTGTTGACTTTCCTAGCAATCTGTTAATTTTTTTCGTATTTTTTGCGCTAGTTTTTTCCCCCATCGTATTATTAAGCTTACTGCTCGCTTGCGCACTGCTTGAGCTGGTTTCCTAGCGTAATTTCGCCATAAAAAGCATTCATTTGCAATTAGATCAGCTAAGGAGCAAGGTAGCATAGGTCCGTGGACAAGCAGGTACATATATAGGAAAGCGGGCAGTTGAAGCAGCGCGCTGCTGTGGCAAGTATCCTTGGGCGAGCGAGCGCATGCATATTGCAACATGCTGACTGCTGCATAGTTAATGATGTTGCACGTTGCAGCATGCGTTCCATATATCCACAGATGCCAACAATGTGGCATATTGTTAGGCGCGCGAACAATGCTCGCAACAGCGGCAGCTGGGGAAGATTGAGCGCGTTTCGTTGGCTGGGTAGTTTTTAAGGCAGCTACGGTAGCTGCCATCCGCCATCCGCCTGCCTGTCTGCTTGGGTATTCTATGCACTCATGAGCACTCTTATTTATTGTTGTAGGAATTTCAATTTAATTCAAGGCCTATGGAGTGGATTTTTTCTTCTTCTTCCTCTTCATGCGTTGGATTTCTTCCACTTGGCTGCTGGTTGGTTTACAACTTGAACTGCTGCTAGGTCCAATGCGCGTCCGTCGTTCATGATATTTTTTTTTTATATATTTAGGTGCTGGGCGGTGGTGCAGCAGACGTTATTGTTTCTAATCTTCAATTCAGCTTATTCAAATCGTGGTTAGTATTTCGACAACGTAAATATTTTCTTCTGCTTCTTCTTCAGCGTGGTAAAAAAAATAAAAATTATAAACCAATTACAAAAAAAAAAATATAAAATATAAAAAAAATAAAGGAATAAATAAAAAATAATTAAATTAAAAAATACGTATATGAAAAAAAAAATATGTATATGCAAAAGAAAAAACTTTAAAATAAGTAAAAAATAAATATAAAAAAATTAAAAGACCAAAAAAAATAGGAAAAAAGAGAGATAAACAAAAACCACAAAAAAATAAAAACGAAAGATAAACAAAAAGACTGAGAGTAAAATTTTTAAGAAAATTATTACTTACGTTAACCAAATATCTTTATTTTGTGATTTAAAAATAAGTCAAATTATGAAAATCTTGAGAAGTTTTGCCTAGTGCTCAATTCATTTTTAATAACTAATACTATTAACACTGTAGGGAAATTTTCAAGTTTTGAAAATGCCCAAAAAACGTCGAAGCACATATATTTAACTTTCAGCCCTAGATCAGGTCATTTTCCCAAAATATTTTCATTTATATGAAAAAAATTCAAATTTTAACAGGGGGAAAAAATTAAAAACTATCAGTTTTTTGTAAATTTCTTTAACGAAAAAAAATCAAGCAACTGACGAAGAAAATCGATGGATAAATAAAAAAGTTGTGAATGGTTAAATGAAAAAAATGAACAGGAAAGATTGTTACTCATACGCCATGTACGGTATGAGTAACATTTTCCATGTTTGAATAAATTGCGAGTTTTTAAAGAATTATTTTCAAATATGTTTTGCAGATTCATAGATATGCAGACGGCTGCCACATTTTTTTTCTACTTTTACTTGCTTTTAAGGCGCTGGCCCAGTGCAGGCTTGCTTGGCTTGCTTCGCTTTGAGAACTGTCAAAAGTTATTTGGAATATACTAAAACGTATGAACGTATGCTTCACTTGCTTTAAGCGCCTCAAAGTTTCAAATAGGCATATGTTTTATTTGAAAGCGTTTCGTAGCCTTTTGACAAAAAGATATGTTCCCGTTCTAAATCAATTCAAACAAACTGCTGCATCTTTTTATGTACAAAAATTTTCTTACGTAATTTAAAAAAAATATATGTATAATATTAGTAACTCAAAGTTTAATAAAAAGTAATCTATGTTTCCATATTTATATTTAATATGTCGCTGGCTTAAAGTGAAAAGATGCTAAGTCCATTTTCACAAATTTTACATGGACTTTGAAAACAACATTTTGCGTGTTGAAAGCAAAGCAAAACTCCATACAAATCAGAAGGATTAGATCTCTGTTAAAAAATTTCGTATTATTTTGGCCTTATTGCATATTCGGGGCCTCTTTTGGACTTATAAAATTTATCTTTTATTGAATATAAACGAGAAAAAATAAAACAAGTACATTAATCCTTAATTTCTCTTACTCTCTAAGTATATCAAAATTTGAGGCTTCATAAAATGTAGGCTTATAAACTTTTCACACAAAGCTGGCGATATTTATAATGTCAAACTACTGGTAAGTCGTCTCTTGAAAAATCGATTTTTTTGTTTTGTGTTTGTTGTTTTTAATAAATGTACATATAATTATATATGTATGTATAATTATTATCATTCCTTTGAAATGCAAAAATTAATTCACATTCATTTGAAAATATATATGAAAAGATTGTTTTGTATTTCTTTTTTTTTAATTTTCTGGAATTTTATGGCAAAATTATTCTTAGTGTAAGGAAACAGACCTTGACTTTTTAACTACACAACTGGTTGCTTTGACAGCGTTCCAAGCCGCCATTTGGCCAAACGAGTTTTTGAAGTAAATCAAAGCAAATTAAAGTAAGCAAGGCGTGCAAAGCTAGCCTGCATTGGGCCAGCGCCTTTAGACTATGTATTCACATATCTGGGACTCCGAAATCGTTGAATATTTCATTTGCTAAACATTTGCGGGTGATGAATTAAACTGGTGCAAATTTTCCAAACTGAGAAAATGTAGGATTCTTAATAAGAAATTACTTTTTACTCAATAGCTCTCTGAACCCTTCCGACTTAACTCTAAACGTTTTATCCAGAAGCCACCTGTACAAGATTACAAACGCTATAATGTCTCGAAAATTTAAGTACATATTGAAA